ATCTCCTGTCTGACTCTTTTCTACACAAATAATATATTTTAACATGTTTATAAGGAAGTCAGAATAATCAGATTTTATGCATATTAATTGATGAATATGAAATGAAATGAAAAGGGGTTTAACATCCTACTGTTCTGCTCCAACTGAGATGCACGTAAAAGATCCCTTGGCAGTTGGAACTCGATATATAAGAGTAGGCCTTAGCACTGCTGTCCGGGCAAAATTTGCCTCATTGCACACTATATGGCGTATGCCCGCCTTCATTAGCCCAGTCGGAGCAGAACAGTAGGACGTTAACCCCCCATTTTATTTCTCATCTTATAAAGTTGTGTTATTATGAAAATTATACCTTTACTTCTAAATGTCAGTTAAGAATGCTATATTTGTAGCCAACCAATTTAAGAATTAAGAGTTTTCAAACGTTGTATTTGAAATATAAGGCGGTTTGTAAGATTCAATAAGTATGTGTAGATGGCTAAAATATAGAATGTAGTTTCTAGATGACTATAATATAATATGTTTTAATTCCATACAACAACTGGACGTGGTATCTTTTTATAAATTAATACCAATATTTCCACTGACGTTCACCCTCCCATTTTCAAATTATTTATATCATATTTTAATTCCATGCAACAACTCGACATGGTATCTTTTTTAATACCAATATTTCCACCCTCCCATTTCCAATATCATATCCATTAACACGTATGTTTTGAAAGTGTTTTTCAAATTATTTATAGCATGTTTTAATTCCTTGCAACAACTGGACGTGGTAGCTTTTTATAAATTAACACCAATATTTCCACCGACGCCAACCCTCCCATTTCCAATATCATATCCATTAACACATGTGTTTTGAAAGTGTTTTTCAAATTATTTATAGCATGTTTTAATTCCATACAACAACTGGAAGTGGTAGCTTTTTATAAATTAATACCAATATTTCTACTTTGAACTGGAAGCTCACCCTTCCATTTCCAATATCATACCCATTAACACATGTGTTTTGAAAGTGTTTTTCAATACTCCATGTGACCATTAGAACGAGCATTTGTATTTTATCTCTCTGCAATAATAAGCCAATGATTATGGTTTAAACAGTATGTTTTATAAAGATTTTTTGTTTGCATTGTCCTATGACTTTCCATTCTTTTATAATATTGACCATCTTTCATATAATTGAGTACATAAAAATGCTGTTAGCCGTCCGATGTTAGTGTTCAGTCGGGACCCGTACATGTACGCAGATGGTCAATCACAGCATACAGATATAATCCACGTTAATCCTTTAAAAGGTAATTAATGTTCTTGGACGTTAGATATTAGAGTGGTAATATAATAAGTCCATGTTCATAGACCTTAGAAATTGAGTTATAATATAATAAGTCCATGTTTCTAGGACTATAGGGTATAAGGTATAAGGATATCATAATGTATATTGCTATTGTATATTGTAACTGTGTATTCAATTAAAGGTGCTGATTAAATGTGTATAATGGTCAAGTAAAAGGTGAACTATGGTACATAAACAGCTAATCCTATATCAAGGTTACTCAGTATTCCAATATACATGCTTTTGATCTTTGAGTATTGGCTTATTAGGTGCTCTGAAATATGCACTGACAATTTATTAGAAATGGAGTGAAATATGCACTATGAATTTATTAGAAATGGGATGAAATATACACTATGAATTTATTAGAAATTGGGTGTTTATTAGGTCCACTGAAAATGCACTGGGAATTTATTAGAAATGGGATGAAATATGCACTATGAATTTATTAGAAATGGGTGTTTATTAGGTGCACTCAAATATGCACAGAGATTTATTAGAAATGGAGTAAAATATGCATTGAGAATTTATTAGAAATGGGGTGAAATATGTACTATGAATTTTATTAGACATGGGTGTTTATTAGGTGCACTGAAATATGTGTAGAGATTTATTAGAAATGGAGTGAATTATGCACTATGAATTTATTAGACATGGGTGTTTATTACGTGCATGTGTGTTTATTTGCTGCACTGAAATATGCAAGATAATGTATTAGAAATGCAGGTTTATTAGGAAATATGCACTGAGAACTACTGATTCATCCTAAGAAAAAATTGTAGTCAAGGAAGAAGTCTTAACAAATGACTGTCTCTAAAACAAATCTCTATTGTATATCTATTGATTTATTTTCCATCCAAAACCAATAAAAGTCTTTCATTTATTTCAATTTTTTTTTATCAAGTCAAGTTCTATTGTCAATAGTTCAAATTTTATTATTAAAAAATCCTCCACAATTCAACATGTGCATAACAATGAAAGTGATATTGGTTGATTTAACCAGTTGCTAAAAGATCTGAAATTAAATGTATAACAAATAAAAAGATAAATTGCACGGTCCAGCTGTGTAGTAATACATTCATTGATAGTTTATGATTGATTTATGTTAATGTTGTTATTCGTATGTAGATAGGGTGGTGAATAGGCTCGTCATGTCGATTGATTTGTTGCTAAACTTTATACATATATCACAAAACAAACTGACATGCATTCCCCGTGAATTATTGCTAATGTATTTTACAACATTGACAAATACATATTGGATAGCAACTAATAATTGAGAAATTTTAATAAAATAGACATTAATTCTACACACGACATACATATCAATGATTGGTCAATACTGGCGTATATATATAATTGCTACTGCAATATATAATAGAAATTGGCCTACCTATTTTCCATGATATGAAAATATATTAAATTATGAGGTTTCAACTTTTGACCTTTAAGTTTTTGCGATTTTATCTTTTAAAGGCTAACTTTGACGTGATACAAGTTAAAACATGGATAATACCATTTCTAATCAATCTAAAAAATCAATGATTAAAGGGGCATTATGGAAGATTAGATAAGGAGCTGTCAGTTCAAAACTAGATAATGTAAAGGGAATATGCTGAAAATTTCAGTCAAATTGCTCCACTCTGAACCGAGATATTTGCGATTGAATTTTAGGCCTAGCCTCGATCATCATTACTAAAGTCAGCATGATGAAAACCATAGTCTCGATTATCCATTTTTGGATTTAATCATCAATGAGCGTTGAGCAGCAGATCGGATTCAAATCTAGTGAATTACCACACATAACATGGCATCGAGAGTTGATTAATATCTTTTCATGTTAATAAATGTCTAATTAATAATTTAGATAAAATTCAGGCCTAAAGAAAGACCTGCAATAGGCAGATTTAGTTCTTGCATAATGTATGTTTAATAATCAATGATTTTGTTTTAATTCATCAGAGGGTGGGACGGGGTTGGGGTGGATCCCATTACAGAAAAATGTGCCTAACTGTATACAGTCATTATGTATATTATTAATATTTTGATGTGTTTTAGGGGGGTTGGATGGCAGAATGGTAAGCACGTGCACATTGGATCATAGGGTCTGTCATTAAGTCAACTGACTGGTTTCGATTGCCTGGCTGTAAGTGACAAGGAGTAGGATCGTCTGTCCAACCTAGTGGGTTTTCTCTGGGTCCCCTGGTTTCCTCCCACAGCTAAAGACCCCTATGCGGAAGCGAAGTATTGAAATAAAATTGAACCATGTTAGTCCCGAAATGACCTAGTTTGTTTGTGTCTAGTGGTTAATCTCTCTGCTAAAGACCCCTATAACGCGCTAGCGAATTATTGAAATAAAATTGAAATGACCTAGTTTTTGTTAAACCTTCTTGAAACTCCTATGCACGACAATAATTTGCTTGCGCGTATGGGTTTTTAGCAGTGGAGGGAAGCTGGAGGACCTGGAGAAAACCTAAGAGGTTGGACAGGAGATCTTACTCCTTGCAACGTACAACCGGGGAATCAAAACCACGCCAATTGACTCAATGACAGACCTTATAATACAGCACATATACGTGCCAACCATTTCACCATCCTACCCCACCCGTCTACATAAAAAGTAATTCTTAGCATCAGATGTCTGCATAAAAAGTAATTCTTAGCATCAGATGTCTACATAAAAAGTAATTCTTAGCATTAGATATTTTGAAACTTCTGTGATATATGGAGGAAGGAAGTAATCAACTTATATCATATCCCCAACATCCAGACGAAACAACAAGACTTTTGATCTACTGAGCCATAAATTTCTTTCAAAGATAAACTTTAAATCATTTTAAAACTGTTAATATTCCAAACATCCATTTAACATGGAGATGAAAACTGATCAAAGATCATTTTATGTGCTTTGGGTCATTTCTAGTTTTATTTTTAGACTAATCTATTTATAATTCGACCAAACTAAAGTCTTTAATATATTCTCTTTAATCACCACTAATCCTTTACCCGGCCCATTTCTTCTTTTTCATCTTGCCGTGAAATAATAATCTTTATTTGCAATTGTTTTCCTTTCATACGTTCTTTTATAAATTCTAGATAATAATAGCATATGTCAACGCCTGTAAAAATAGTACGAAGAATGCCCATGCTTTCTTTTAGGGAAACAATGTTAGTTTATATTTGCCTTGCCTTATGATGCTAACAAAGGAAGGCAGCTTTATTGTAAACGATGTACGAAGTATCTTAGAGCAATATTTTGTCGTCTTGGGTAAAGTTTAGCAAACAGTGGTCATGGAAGCATGATCGAGTTGGATCTATCATAATACATTATATAGAGTCGAGTGAAGACACAGAGATGGCTGTTCATTGAAGCGGAGAGTTTATTGGGGTTATAGAGAGAGAAAAGAGCAGGTTAAGAGAAACAGCCGGTATAAAGATCAAACAAGACCAATTCTCAGGTGTCACAAAAAAACAACAGCTCACGATTCGTTTGGTTTATAACTATTGATAGAGACAATTCCTGCAAAAAAAAGCTACATGGTTTGTTTGGACTTTTACAATTGATAGTCAAGACTTGTGACTGTTTTAGACCTTCGATGAAGGGCTGATCGGTAAGTGAAAGAAATATTCATCTAGTAGTTAAGACTTGTGACAGTTTTCGACCACGATGAACGGCTGATCGGTAATTGAGAGAAGTATTCATCTAGTAGTCAAAACTTGTACTGTTTTTGACTACGATGAACGGCTAATCATTCAGTGAGAGAAGTATTTATACCAATAGCATTCTGGTCGTTAACAACCAGTAACATCAGACTGTTTCACTTCTGGCACAGTCCAAGTTATGTATATGTACCTGGCCTGAAGGAATATTACTTGTTTCTTACAACTCAAACTAAACAATAGCACGGAAACTTCTTCTCCACACAGTTTGTCGTTAAACAATGGAATTATGACGGCCACATGTGGAGCTGTGTAAATCATATGAACTGTGTATAGTGTAAAGTTTATTTTGGTGATATACTAGTTGGACATATTACACTAATATAAGTACAGCTCGGAATTAAACTATGAGGTAAGGACGGTTGACATAATGATGTAGTACTATACAGTATGTCTATAGGGAAGTGTTTTAATCGTCAATTGAAATTATAAATCTTGTCATTCAATTATTTATTAATAATGAAAATTATAACGTAGGCCCTATCTTGAAATTATAAATCTTGTCACTGAATTATTTATTGAAAATGAAAATAGAAACATATCTTGAAATTATGATTCTAAATGTCATTGAATTATGTTTTAAAATGAAAGTTTTAATAATCAGACAATATCTTAAAATTATAAATTGAATATATTTTTAAAATGAAAGTAAAATAGAAATAGGGTAATGTTTCTTTCACATGTTAAAATATTTAACCTAAATTAAATCTAAGCAGAAATGAAATAAATATGAAATGTTCATCCTCAACATCTACACAGAAATGAAATATGAGATGCCTAACTTCATCTAAATTCTTTATTTGGCTAATAATGAAACTAACAAGATATGTTTTGTATGAAACTGAGCGGAAAATGGAATGATGGTTAACAGGCGGAGACTTTTGTTGCATGTGCAGTGTAAGGGTGAATTTTGCCTGGACAGCAATGGTTCTGTCTAATCTTCTTCAAATTCCTTTAAACAAGAAACCACGATTTCTTTGGGGGTCCAATATAATTGACTAAACACAGTTTTCATATTAGCCCAGCCCGTGGCAGCTTTGAAAACTGGGTTTGAACATCCTGAAGGTTTTTCTGGGGCGGCACACCAGTAGTCAAACTCAGAACGCTGACAGGAAATGGGGTTTAACGTCATACTGTTCTGCACCAGCACGGCTAATGAAGACAGACGTATGCCATGCAGTGTGCTATGAGAGAAATTTTGCCCAGGCAGCAGCGCTACGGCCCACTTTTTATATTGAATTCCAACCATCAAGAGTTCTTCGAGTACACAGGATCTCCAGACACACAGGAAAAGTAAGATACCCAGTATTAAAAAATTTTCTGATAAATATTTTTTTTTAAACATTTACCATTCAAATTCAAAAGTAATTACCAGAAAATCTTTTTTAATAACTATCTGTTTTTGTCAAGGAACGAAAAATAATTAATAGTGAAAAAGTCTGTCGAGAAAGAGTATCATGTGTAAGAACAGAACCTGATTGTTATTTTTACAGTTTTGTTGTGATATTAACCTGTCTAGGCCATACCTAAAATAGATCTTGATGACAATAACAAACTACTAGGCAAATGATACGCTATTTTAACTTACAAAATACTCTTTGTACTAATGACAAATGTATTATATGTCTTAAATAAATACTGTTAGGGTCAGGGTTATTGAATTTAAAATTAAATCAAATTAAAGGGGGTGGGGGGATCTGTCATTGCCCAAACCTCATTCTTCAGCCAAACCTCAAAACTGATCTGATGATTCGATAACCTTTCAGTTCAGAATTATCAAGTTTTATTCACATGAGGGTACTGGAGGGAAGAGGGCATTTTGCATATAAATGGGTTAGTTAATTAAACACGTACAATAGAGTAACTTTCCTTGAGACAAGTATACAAACTCCAAACAATAATCAAACCACAAATTCATTTCAAAGCTGCCTAGTTGGTGCCGAAAGTAAGACATTACAAAACCCATTTCATTTCATTTGAAATTTACAACTCTAAATCACCTGAATTTCACTTTCAAGAGCTAAATTTGCATTAATTTCCTCTTTCTATTTATCTCCGTGGATTTAAAATAAAATTTTTAAGATCTATTGCTTCATTCAAGTGTAACTAAGCGATGGACGTATCTTATTTCACCTAACCATTTAATTTATTGAAATATACAAATCGTAAAATAGTGAGTTACAATGTTGATGATCAGTGTATGTAATAAAGAGTTGTGTGATTTGACAGATCTTTAGAATATTTAAATAGAGTGATTAAGATTTATGAGTCATATTACTCGATGTGATAAAAGTAGGAATGTCTCATCAAGGTGTTTCATATTATATATCTTGGTAATTAACCTTTCGTAGTACAGACACAAACTTGTCAATTTTTACGACATTTCTCTAATATATGGTCGAACAACCTTCAGTGTATTCAGTTGGTAATCTGAATCTTGATACGAAATTTCGATTTTTAAAATAACGTTGAAATATTGAAAGTTGTAGAAAAAGTGAGTCTCGTTGGCAATTGTTACGATATTTCTCTAATATATGACCGAACAACCTTCAGTGCATTCAGTTTTTGAAATAAATTTGAAATACTGAAAGTTGTAGAAAAAGTGAGTATACTTATTGGCTATCTGTTATTGATCGAGACTCAGCACTACTGTAAAACATCAGACATTCTGAAAATATGCTAGAACCTTCTCCAGTGTCCACTAGTTGGTGAGTTCCAAGTTAAAATTTTTGTTACAAGACCATCTGATAAATATTGGAAGTAATTTACACATAGTTCACGAGAAATGAAATAAGTTTATTGTCTTATTTTTCTGCACCGAGTGGGCTAATGAAGACAGGAATATAGATAATATATCACAGGTTCATTTAAAATCCATATAGATATTTTAAGAGATCAAAGATCATGGAGCAATGTTTTTCAAAATAATGTTTAAGATTACAGGTATGTCAGTTTGGAACACTTAAATACGGAGCTACTAGATTTATTTGAGAGAACCACAAAAAAGTTATATTTTTAAACAAATTGTCAAATTATAATATGTGTGTTAAAGATACATTATGGGAGATTCGATAACGAGCTGTCAGTTCTCACTATAATAGTTAAAAACTAGATAATGTAAAGGGAATTTGCTGAAAATTTCAGTCAAATTGATACACCCTGAACTGAGAATTTAACAATTGAATTTTGGGCCTCGCCTCGATTATCATTACTAAAGTCGGTACAATAAAAAACATGGTCTCGATTATCCATTTTTTTATTTAATCAGCAGCAGCAGACCGGGTTCTAATCCAGTAAATATCACAGGCTAGCAATGACATCAAGAGTTGATTATGGTGTGAATAAGTTCATTAATGTCTAATTAATAATTTAGATAAGATTTCCGGCCTAAAGAAAGACCTGCAATTGGCAGATTTAGCTCTTGCATAATGTATGTTTAAAATAGCTTTATTTAATATCTCTCTCTTCCACCCTGATGATATCTTGACAATGAACTAATGTACCATAAAATATTTTGTATTTTATTAATTTTGATGTTTGACCCAAAAAATAGTGTATTTTCAAAATTGTTAAATGAACAATATGAACTGATGTGTCTGTGTAATTTATTTAAGTTCCGCTTGTGAAGTGATATGACCATCACTGAACTAATGTGACCTCATAAGCACTTTCAGTTGTTATTAATTATGTTTTTAATTATGTTTTTGGCAATGTCAGTCTGGTAGGTATGTCTACCTGTTAATAAACAAAGGTGGTATTTTTAGTCTGAGGTGATAGTTTTAGTAGATAATAAGTAACTAAACTGATATGACATTTTTATGACTTGAAGACATTCTTCCTCACTCTTTTAGTTCACAGTAATATAATTTGTCTGACATTAATATCAACACTAGATTATATATAATGGAATCAGTCCATGCAATCTGAAATAAAACCAGTTGTGTATGTTACAAGTATTTCATGCACTATAAACAGATGCACTGCTAAAAATATCATCTAGTCTGTAAATATCAAATATCAATGTTTATTTGCTTGTTAATGTAAGAAATATTAATATCACTTTGCCAATAGTGATAGATTGAATTTATGGATCTAGATAATTTAATATTCAAGTTTTACTTTTGTCAACTGCAACATAATTTAGCAATTAAGCACCACATAAAACACAACACCTAGTTTATATTGAAATGAAATGAAATGGGGTGTAACGTCTTACGTTTTTGCAACGACTTGGCAAATTAAGACGGACATATGATATGAAAAAACAATCACTGGTTTATAGCACCAGGTTTTAACAAGTTTTCTCTTATCAAAAAGAACATTTGTTGGAATGCTGTGTTATATATGTATACAAAACAACCAGTGATTGTTTTCCATATCAATTGTCTAGTGTTTTTTAACTGTACAGTTGTTCTTGAGAAAGTAAAGTCAGCTCTACAAATACTTCAAACTCATTATATTCACTAAATTTTGGTAATTTCATTTCTTATTCACGAAATTTTAGTCTGATGAATTTTATCTGTATCGAGATGAAATCCAAAGACTTTCTGAATTGAACGATAAAAACCCAATAAAATTTAAACATTTCATAAAAAATATGCAATGAACAGTTTGAAGCTAAACAGAATATCCTTCCATTATAAGTGACCATCTTCTTTAAATCATTTAAATAACCAAAATAAAATGAAATGAGGTTTAACATTCTATTATTCTTCGCCGACTGGACTAATAACAGGCTAATTAAATCATGTTGCAAATTAAAGTTATGCTATTGTTAAGTGAATAGATGAATATAGAATAGGGCGACCATCTTCTTTAAATCATTTAAATAACCAAAATAAAATGAAATGGGGTTTAACATCCTATTATTCTTCACCGACTGGACTAATAGCAAGCTACTTAAATCATGTTGCAAATTAAAGTTATGCTATTGTTAAGTGAATAGATGAATATAGAATAGGGCGACAACTTCTTTAAATCATTTAAATAACCAAAATAAAATGAAATGGGGTTTAACATCCTATTATTCTTCACCGACTGGACTAATAGCAAGCTACTTAAATCATGTTGCAAATTAAAGTTATGCTATTGTTAAGTGAATAGATGAACATAGAATAGGGCGACCATCTTCTTTAAATCATTTAAATAACAGAAAAAAAATGAAATGGGGTTTAACATCCTACTATTCTTCACCGACAGGCTACTTAAATCATGTTGCAACTTAAAGTGATACTATTGTTAAGTGAATAGATGAATAAATTGTTTGCATACCTTGAAACATGTTTATTGTAAGGACAGGTAATAGAAGACCAGACATGTGTTATTATTATGTCTGACTAGAGGTTCGCAGTA